CATAAGATTTGTCAAGATACAAACCAGAATGCCGCTGCAGTCGCATGGTCAAAGACTCCAATTTTGTGTCCTTCACTGCCTTGTCAGCAGCATCTCTTGCTCCTGTCTGCGCCTGTGTTCCATCCACCTCAGCTTTGGCATTGGTGAAGACAGTCCCAGAAGAAACCACATCTACAGCCGCTGTGATTCTTGAAGTAGTAGAAGCAGATGGATTGTCCGATTGAAGAGCGGTGATTCCTGGATGGATGAGCTTCAAATACCTCTGGAACTCCATCTGTGGCAGGAGCTCGATCTGTGTGAGCATTAAGAGGATTGTGCCTGTCACGTGCGCAACAACACGACACGTGGCACACGACGTGTCAAAAGAATGTTCAAACGGCTGGGCATCACAAAAAAAGCCGGGCCAGTTAGCTGGAATTGTTGCAACCCCCTCACTGGCTGAGCAACCTCACTCAAAAACTATTCGTCAACAAAACGTCCAACCAAAACCATCAACAAGCCGTCCAATCCCAGCAGAAGGCCACCACCAGGTTCTTCCAAAGAAATCCCGGTCTTTCAAGAATCCGTCATGGGAACTTCCTTTTCCTTCCAGGCCCGGTTCGCAACACACGGTTCTTTTGGATTGGGTTGTGTGTTTTGTCACGTTTTTGTTCACCACTCTTAAGGGGTGAAGAAAGCTCGTCCAGGGTCGGTTGGTCGCGCCTGTGGACAGCAAGAGCACCACCTTGGATTGGTTGGGTCGAACGGAAAGCTCCATTTGTATTTCATCCCACATATCTAACAACGATGCCTATTTTTGCAGGGGGAAACCCAATGGAGCCACACAAATCCTTCCCAGGAAGGAACATCATACCACCATCCGACCATTTGGGTGTCCAGGTGTGTTCGATCCCGGATAGTAGTGGGCGAGTCGGGTAGTTTTTTCACGCCACGACACCCAGCTCGACTGGGATGGTCTGCAAAGGATTTCGACCAAAACTGCATACGATTCCCGAAGCGTAAAACGCTCCTAGTATAGCTTCTTGTTACGGTCGTAGCTTCCAAGACCTACGGTCGTAGCTTCTTGTTACTAGTAGCTGCTTGCTCCTAGTAGTAAGGCCAGGAGCCCGTAGCGATGCCAGGAGCCCCTAGTAGCTTCTTGTTCCTAGTAGTAAGGCCAGGAGCCCCTAGTAGCGTCCTTGCTCCGTTCGTAGCGATGCCAGGAACCCCGTTCGTCGCGAACCTCGGTTACTACAGGTGTACCGATTCCCAAGGGCTTCCCTCACACCAGGTCGCACATTGACACCGCTGCATCGGGTTGGTCCCGCGCCACGGGTCGGTCCGCAGAGTCGGCGTCACATGGCGTGACCGGCCGCCGTGGCGTGACGTTGAGGATGAAAAGGAGGGATTGCAATGGGTATTGAACAACATGGACATACATGGGGCATGACATCTCATGACATGGCATGGGTGGTTTTGCAACATGGTGTGAAGCACATGGCGTGAATGGATGGTGAAGATGTTTGATGTATTGCTGAACTCCAAGACGGTCAAATCGAGAAAAGAACGCTCGGCGCAGTCGTGGCGGACCAAGGGGTCCATCGGTGTCGGTTGAGAAACAGCACAGGAGTCACCCGGTTCCGCGGTTCAAGCACACCTCCAGAGTTCCAACGTCCGCGTTGCGCCCGGAACACGTGTGAACTGAAGGTGGTCCCCCGGCGTCTTCCGTGCGTGGCATGGTGGCCACCCTGCCCTCGGCGCCACGCCCTGAGGAAAGGGGCCACCCCCGGAGACCGCCAAGGCGGGCGCTCCTGAACGCCATCGGCCTGGCTGGTGAAGCATTCCGGAAGAAACAGGAGTGGTGAATCTTTTGGATGAGGCTAGTCCGGTTCGTGATCTCCCAGGGCTGTTTTGGGGACGACGGGCTGTTTTGGGGCTGCTCTGAACGACCTGAATGATGTCGTTTTTTTTTTTTTTTAATGCACCCGTCGGCCCGAGGCTTTTCTCTAGGACGGTCTCAATGGTGTCCTCGCAAAGGCAAACTATCTCACACCTGCCTTGGCAATCTTGGGTATATCAGTAACAGCAGATGATGGATCATACTATGGGTACGTGCATTGATACAGGGAGACCCCCTTTTTTTGACCTCTTTCGTCGTCGAAAACATCTCAGTCTACCCATTGCTTGGCGGATGCTTGTTTCTCGGTCTCCCTATACCTTGGCTTCGCCGGCGCAGGTCGCGACGTCTAGTGGACCACACATGGTGGAATCCTGATTTCTCGGATCATCTGAACTTGTTAGTGAGGGGTAGTAATTAACAAGGGCATTAATTACTAGAAATGAACAAAAATAAGCCATGTTCGTAGCGATGCACTTCTTACGTTCTTTTCGTGCCCTTGTTACGTTCGTAGCAAGACTCCGGTGACATCTGACTTCCGGCGCCACCTGACCAGGCCCCGGCCGCGGCGATCCTCGGTTACTCCGGCCGCGGCGAAGCGATCCACTCGAGCCATGACGCGGTCGCTTCTTCCAGCACCATCGTTCGTTTGGGTGCTGCAACCTGCCTGGTGGTGCCCGGACTGAGACATACTGAGACAAGCCGGGACTCCAAAAAGGTCACGAACTGAAGAAGCTGGTACAAGGACGAGTTCATTACAAGGGCATTAAAATGCAAGTATAGTATAGAATAATAGCTAGTAAACAAAATATTAGAATATATAAGATTGTACGTATAAGATTGTATAAGTATATATAACTTATATTATATACAATACCCTGGAAGTTCAGGAAGACTATTTAAAAGAAAAGGTTTAAACCCGAATCTGGGTGACCCGATTCGGACTTGCTCGGACCTTACCCCCGCGCGCCGCCGCGTGAACCGTTCGCTGCCCCTCCGCCCCGGGGGGATCGAGTCAAAACCTGGAGCAGAGGCTCTGCAGGTTCACCTTCTAGAGCTATCTAGAGCTTGGGTCGGTTCATGTTCGGACAACTGTGTCCAACACACCCTGGTCACCCACCCACTCACTCGCCGCAGGTCTTTTCTGGCGTGGAGGTGAGCTCCGATTCATTGCCTGAGTTCTGGCAGAAAAGAACTGAGTTCTCCAAGCAAAGGTGCAGTTTTCCAGCTGAGTTCGACAGAAAATCATTGGCAGCCGATGGGTCTTTTTGGTGGGGCAATGGAATGGCATGGATGCCTGGAACATTTGGTGGTGTATTGGTGCCAGCAACCAACCTGTACCATCCAATGGGTGTCCAATGGAGATCCCCAAGCAGTGTAGGGTAGTCCATTGGACACCCATTTGATGGTCCTGGAACTTTCCTTGGCAAGAAAACATACACATATGATATTTGATGAATCATGATGATAGTGTATATATATATGATTATCTGGCCAGACTTTAGTCAGGAATGAGGGAATGAGGGACTCATGCAAGTCTAAAGTTGGTAAGTTATGCCTGGGGACAGGGCGGCACAAAATAAACATCTTTTAGACATATATATATATATAATATTCAAAAAACAGATCATAACGATTGAACAACCTTGGCAGAACACCTCAACTTGTTGGCAAACACGCGCAAACGTAATCCACGCCACATGTATTATGAAATTGGTGTTTGGAAAACTCAACAAAGTAAGGTTTCAATCAACATTTGTTGTTAAACAAAATTAGACTGGTTCAAAGGGTTGCTGACCAGCAGCCCTTCCAATGAACGTTTCTAGTTTAAACAGAAGAGTAGAACATATTCATTGGCGCAAGAACACCTCTTGTTCTCTGACCTTGGATTCTTGCCACGTTGACCCTGGCAGAACTCGGACTCATGACTCCTGCTCAGTTCAGCGAACACTCGAATCATCGAATGGAAACGACTGAGATCCGGACGGAGGTCCACCGGGGAGGGCCAAAGGTGCAGGTGGTTGAGTTGGATTGGCCTCAGCACTTCACCATCTTCACCATCTGCACCCCCGCCCAGCAGGACTCCAGCAGGGCACCGGGTTCATTATGGTTCATGATAGCAAGAAGCTACTAGGTTGGAGGCCATCGCTATTAGGTTGGAGGTCATCGCTGTTAGGTTGGAGACCATGAGACCATCGCTACTAGGTTGGAGGCCATCGCTGTTAGTTTGGAGGTCATCGCTACCAGGGTGGAGGCCATCGCTACTAGGTTGGAGGCTATCTTTGTTAGGTTGGAGGCATCGCTGTTAGGTTGGAGGCCATCTCTTAGGTTGGAGGCCATCGCTACTAGGTTGAACCCTCGAGAACAGCAGCTTGGGGTCCCTCAGGTCGCCCTTGTTTTGGAGAGGCCGGATCCTGAAGGGGAGCAGTGATGGTGTCGTTTTTTTCGCGTTTTGAGGTGAAGGGTCCCAAACATTGGACATGACGAGGTGGCCACAAAGGACCACCTAACTGGCCAGCTTGGTCGTGCTCCACAAAAGCTCCGCCAACAAGGGCGCCAGAACTGCCGACGTACTGCGCTCCCCGCTGTCTTGACCCACCTCGCAGGTCAAGTGGATCCCTGGATCTAGGTGCCCCTCGGTTTGGTCCAATGGTTGAAGTCGGTGCCTGGAACCACTGGGAACCCCAGCGCAGCTGGATGCTCACCTCCCAACACCGCAACCCCCCCCACACCGCGCGCCTTCACGAGATGACCCTTCGAAGCAGCTTGCGCCAGGGTGGAGGAGTCCACGCCCATCGCCACCGTGGGTTGCACACCTTCGGCCGTCGACGATCCCGGTCGAACGACAGACCGGTGGGAGGAGGTCAAAGAACCAACGTAGGAGACCAGTTGGAGTGAAGAGTCAGGGGGGTTGCTCCAACAGGCCGACCACGTGGACAGGTGGAAACCACCGGACGTCAGGACTACCTGCCAGCGGCCATCCTGCCCTGGTGCCACGTCGGACGTCAGGGTTCCGAAGCGTCACACGCGTTTCATCGTCGGACGAGAGGGACATTGATGGAAGCTCTAAGAGCAGACGCCTCCAAGCTACTAGCGATGGCCTCCAACTTACTAGTGATGGCCTCGGCCACTGCCTTCATCTTCTGGTAGGGTTTTGGGGGCTCCATTCTGAGATGATTCCGAATCCTAGTGGCGACGACGGGTGCTGAAAAACAGGCGACGATGCGAGCAGATGTGTCGCTTTTTTCTCAGCACGAGGCCCACAATTGCAGGTGTCGTTGAGCCGCCCGTCTGGACCTCAGCAACATCTTTGCGGGGGGCTTTCGGACCAAGAAACATGTCAGTTGGTACCAGAAACAGTTCTGGTTCTTTGTGGACATCCAGAACCGAAACTCGCCTTGAGACTGGGGAAACCCAAGCTAGTCCGATGAAGTCCGGCCCCCACCAGAGCGAATCAACAAAGCTACAACCGTGTGCGCCCTTTTGGCCCGGTTTGACATCTCTGAGGCGTCTGCAGGAATATTTTGCGCTGAGACAGCATCTGGATTGTACCTGCCGTCCATCGTCGCCCGAGGGCGTCGACGAATCCATCCGGAAAAGCGACAGGTCCAAGCCACGAAGGTCGGGTTGTGTGGACTCGGAGGTCAAAACCAGATCCACTCCGGGTCTCAGTGCACGCCTAGAGCCTCCAAAGCCCGGGTCTGGGTTGAACAGACTGGAGTAGTCCAGTCTGTTCATTTTCGGTCATAGGTCCGATCTCTACCGGTTGCTTCCCTGCTCGGGGCACTGCTCCTCTCCTTTCTTGATGGTGACTTTCAGGAACTTGCCTTGCTTCGTGTCAAAGCCTTGGTGACGGCGAAGATGAGTTCGGAAGACTGGGTGAAGCCCATGGTGAACACCCGCTGACACTCCACCCAAAAAACACGTCTGGATGGAACTCCTCGGTCAAAACGCCACTTCCTATTGTGATCATTTGTAATCTATGTTTCTGGATCTCACTTGGGCGCCGGAACAACTACCAGAACTGTTTCTGGTTGAGACATCGGGTTTCCGTTCTGAACCACCACCTCGGGGTGGGGTCGGTTTATCTTGGCGAACTAGAGGGCAACTCACCATTTTTGCGAAGAGGTCGGGCTCAAGGATCCCATCAGGAATAGCAATTTGCGTGGAGTTTCGCGCTTGAAGATCGCTCTCCGCCGCTCTCCGCTTGCAGCGCTCGAAGACGAGAGCGCCGACGACTCCAAATCTCTTCAGCGCTGTGAAAGACACCTGGTAGTCAAAATCCACCACGACCAGTTTGGGGTAAAATGAGACTTGGACTCTCAGATCGTTTTTTCGACAAACCAACGTCCATCAGCCGAGTTACCATTCATTCCTTTGATGGCCATGGTCGCAGCTTGCGTCGTAGCATAGGAGCAAAAACCGAAGCCTTTCGAGGCCTCGATCGCGAGGGACCAGCTGAGTGACAAATCACGACACTCTAAAGCATACAATTATTGACCTGAGCATCATTCTTTTCCATTTGAGTGTGACAGTGTGACATATTAAATGGTAAACGATATATACAAAAAAGTCTTGTACAGTACCCTGTCTGTAGCTGGTCCGCTGGTCCTCCACCTACACGATCCTCCTCTGCAGGAAACTAGCTTTTCCAACCTGGAAGTCCCAACCAAAAAACAGCTCTGGTTGTTCCAATATGGCTCCAGTTTGAAATCTGACATAGGAAATGGCCGGGACTGTGGAAGCATACATTTCTTTCTAGTTGGGAAGGACTGGCACACCCGGGAATCCACGGGGGACGAGTGATCTAACCAAATATCCCACAACGCTGCGGTGATCAACATGAGTTGTGCGACTTCCGGCCTTGGTCACTGGGTCCACATGAATCTTTGCAGAGACAATCTGACCGAACCTCACCAGCGCAGGCAGTCACTGCGCGCCGGAACCGGCGCGCGCGACGGTCGTTCGACCGTGACCCGTCCGATATCCGATCCGTCCCTCCTTCACTGGCGGTCCGGAGACTGCAGCTCCCAGGCGTACCGATCTACCCAGCCAAGGGCTTGAGAGACTCGGGGGTCTTTGTCTTGAAATGGGCGAGTTTTAAGCAGGTCAGCAGCACGGAGAGAAGTGCGCATTGAAGTCGTCATCCGTCCAATTGATTGGCACGTGGAAGACAAAGATGTTAGCTCCTGTATCCGCACAAGAGCGAAAAGCACACCAGCGTCTTTTTCTGTACTGCGTCCACTGCGATTTGCTGCGTACGATGTCTCCGAACGGACCTGCCATCCATCTCACGCGGATGGCATGGTGATTTGTGCGGTCGGTTCCCAACAGTCCAACGTTGATACTGCCCTGGAAGTCAAAGACCGAATTTAAAATGGTTGATCTGGTTTTGTAGTGTAAAACCCTTAGTGAAAAATGAGTTGTTCGGTAAAGGCTATCAAAACAATGCTGGTTCGACTTCCATGGCTCTTCAATCCAATTCTTTCGAGCCAAAGTTCAGATCTTGGACCTTACCCCCAAAACTGTCCTCAGTTCAAAAAAATGAAAAGAAGGGAAACAAAACAACACATGCATGATCATGCATGCATATTGCCCCTTGAAGCCTTCGAGTAGCAATGGCCCCAACCTACTAGCGATGGCCTCCAACCTAAGAGCCATGACCTCCACCCTAGTAGCAATTGCCTCCAACCTACTAGCGATGGGCTCCTAAGAGCAATGACCTCCAACCTACTAGCGATGATCGCACGCAGATCCGGGTCGCCTGGTGGTCCATTGCCTCCTTGCATCGCGGGCAACGCTGCCTGCGGTGCAGAAGTCGCAACCGTCTGCACAGCGGACTGGGCGTGGCGTCGGGGCGTCTGGGCGTCTGGGCTGGAGAGTGGCCGGTCTCGCACGAGTTTGGGTGGGGGGAAGCCGCTCTGGTCCTGTTCATCATACCCCCACATGAAGAGAACTGAGTGCATCCAAATGGGATGGTTTATTACTCAAGAGTCTACAGTAGGTGGTTTCTGCTCTTCAAAAGATGCAGCCAGCTGAGCCAGCCGGCTCGGTTGAAGAGTCCAGGTGTTTTAGCGGTCTAGGTCTGGAGGCGGAGGTCTAGGTGCAACCTCTGGATCCCTCGGAAGGAAGACACCTTCGGAATGCAAGTGTTCTTCCAGTCACTTTTGAGTGCAAAAGCACACAAGAACACAGCCATACTTGGCCACAACTATCCATACTGGATGATTCTTCCCGAGGGCTCCAACCATCTTTTCAGAAGTTGGTTAGACAAAGGGGGTCTGTGTGCCTACGTTGATTTGCAACATCTTTGCACTGCCTGGGTTTCCCTACTGTCCTAACCAGAAACACTTCTGGTTGTTCCAATACCCTAGAAGTCTAAAGACTATTTTTGGCACCACCCAAGTGTTCAGGAAGTTCCTTTTCACTCGGATCACCGTTCGTCAGTCAGACCGGAAAAAAACGGACTTCGACTGGACGAAACCAGGGAAGGACATCAATTGTATAATTGATTATAATTGAGATTAGGAAGTATACCTGAAACATCGGGAACTGTTTCACTGTGTCAGGTGGTGCTGAAGGCGCCAACCCATCAGTACCGATGCGCTCACCTGAGTGAGCGCCAGCTGTCCAGTGGTGCCACTTCCTGAAGAACGACATCACGAACCAACGACATCATTGCGGCCGTGCGTTTTCCTGGTGACAGGAACCTAGCGAGCTTGAAGGCTAAATCCATGTCTTTTTTTGAAGATGGAAGTAAACCTCCAACCTAATAGCAATGGCCTCTAACCTACTAGCGATGGCCTCCAACCTAAGAGCAATGGCCTCCACCCTAGTAGAAGTTCCCAAAAGCCCTTTTCCACCAGGTGAAAAGCGCAGCTCCCCTCAAATGGTGAACCTTTGGAGATCACTCTTCACTCTGCGGGAACTCGTTCCGCTCTCGTTCTGTGCACACGCTCTGTGGGCGTTCTTCACCCGTGGAACGCGGTTCGGTGGTCCCACCTGCAGCTGGTAAGGAGGGCGCTCCAGGTGCCTCGCTCGGTGCGCTGAGCCGGCGGAGCCCAGCGCAGCGAGGTCATGCGTTTCGTGATCGTGTTGAACGCGTTTCGTCTTAAGACATACCGACAGCGCTTCCGACAGCGCGTGGTGTTCGACCTAGGCTAGTATTGGGATGTCCTTCCAGGTGACCCGGAACGGTACGACCCAATACCCATACCTGGCAGACTTGAGTTGAGGAGTTTCCTTTACTTGGGGGGCAAAATATAGTCGAACTGGACTTCTAGGATCTTCTAAACACTTGCAATATATATATATATATCATATCCCTGGAAGTCGAATACCATCCTTAAAATGGTTGATCTAGTGCAAGTATTCCTTAGTAAAACAGCTCGGTTCATCGGGATTCAGGCCGCCTAAAGGGTGGTTCGATTTCGGTATACCCAACTTGTCCCAGATTCAACTTGAGACATTCAAGCACATCCATTCCTTCCCCGAGGGCCAAGCGGTCTGTCCACCAAGCCTCGCGGGAAACACCGCTCGGGGTCGGGCCGCGCATGGCCGTGGCACCCAGAAGCGGAGTCAGGGCCCACCAGCTTCTTGTTCCTATAATGCTCCGTTCGTGTCGCGATGCCAGGAACCCCGTTTCGTAGCGTCCGATCGCTCCGTTCGCGTCGCGATGCCCGTTGCAGGCTCCGTTCGAGCCGCGAACCTGGTTCCTAGTCAATGCCAGCTACGTTCGTAGCGTCGCCAGCACCGAGCTGTTGGACTGGACTCACGCAGGCAGGGGAGGTCTCCAGGTCCTTCCCATCTGTTCCAAACTGAACGACGACACGATCCTTCGGCGGGGACGGCCGAGGCCACCTCTTCGACCCGATCCTTCGGCGTCTCCGTTCAACCAACATCCAAGAGAACGGAGGAAGGAACCTGCGCCCAAAAAGTCTTGAGGACCTCCAAAAAGAAGCCCGGCCACTTGTATATATATATATAGATGATATCCTTCCATAGCTACTTAGGAGCTGACCTCATTCGACAACACCTCAAAAAAAAGAAATTGATTGATTCCCTTTTTCGGATATTCCCAAGAAAAAACTGGGTCTCCCAGCTCCGCGGGCTTCTCCCATCGAGTCTCTTTGGTGACGCTGTTGTAGTAGTAGGGCTGGTCGTGAGACAGTGCGACAGGTGGCAGGTGTGAGTGTTGATTTTCTCTTCGAATGCGTTCTCTTCGAAGGGTAGGGCGGTGGTGAAGAACATGCTGATCTGTTTTTTTTCAATTAATCGCCACATAAAGGCCAGTCACAATTTACGGCATATTGTAGCCTCAAAAACAATATAAAGGTGCCATAGATCGACTGTCATAGATCCATGTTGGGTTGTACGGTCATGCTTCTTTCACATGCAGAGAGGTCCATCTCCGGACACCAGGGAGGACTGCGGAGTCACCCTGACCATGTCCGGTAACTGGTCATGGTTTTTCCACCGCGAACGATCTGCTTTTGGTCGTGTAAAAAAGCAGCTGGTTCTTCGGGATGGCGGCCATGACCCCCGCATGCTTAAACGGCAATTCTTCATGCTTGGTTTGAGCATGACGTTTTGGTTCTTCGGGATGGGGGTTAAAGAACCTGAGATGCATATGCAGAAGACCAACGTGCTTCGCTCACCGCGATTCCAATCACCGGTGATCTGGTTCCGTCTCGTCACGGACGTCCGTCACGGCTTCGGCGTGCCCGGTGTCCCGGTGTGTGACGGACGTGGGGTCCGACCGGTGTCCAGGGGCAGGCGAGTCTCTAGACCCAGACCCGACCGTGACCACGGAATCCGAGTGTTCATAAATAGTCCCTTAGGGATCAAGAGGCGTCCAGTAACCACCCCTTGAAAGACCTCACCAGCTCGCACAAGCTGTCGTGTGCCACCCTCCTGCCCCCAAATCACTCGCCGGCGGACTTCGCGCCGAGCAAGGTCACGGGTCACGGGTCACGAGCGAGCGGGGGAGGCCTTGCCCTCGGGTGTGGTGAACTCTTGCCAAGGAGTCACCGCCTTTGTTGGAGCCTGGCGCTTGAAAGAGCGTCAGTTACTGTCGAATGCGGAAAGAGGCCACCTACCCCAGCTTCAGGCCCATATGGGGGTGGTTCATTTAGCCAGAAACTTGAAGATCTGTTTGCATGGAAGAAAACCCGAACACGTGGGTGTGAGAAACATGGAGAAACACATGGGGCTGCCTGACTGAACATGGGGCTGTTTCTTCTTTTTCAGACTAATGCTCCCTGCTGGATGGAGCTTACTTCCTCTTTCGCTCAATCCTGGACGATGTTTGGGTGCGCAAATGAGATGGACCCAATGTCAACACATCCAACATCGAACCACTAGGAAAACGGTGCATCGCTACTAGTAGCTAGAAGCTACTAGTAGAGATTTACTATTATTACTATAGTAGCAATGCACTTGTTACTACTAGCGTTGCACTTGCTACTAGTAGCTTCAAGTGAAGTGCAAGAAAATGAACCCCACCGGGCCCGCAGTGAGGCTTCGCAGTGCATCGCCACTTCCATTCTTCCAAAATCGCCGGTCCATCCCTTCATCCAACCTCTACCCCATGGGTCAATCCCACACAAACCACGAGTTGAAACCAGGGGTCCTCAGTCGGTCGAAGCGGCTTGGTCGTATGACCTAACCTTTTCCAGTTTTGGACTGCCAAAACGCAGCGGAACCGACCTCGTTTGCCCGCTCTCCGTTTGGATCCGTTTGGCATCTCTCCTCGAAGACGGTGCCCTCGATTTTGGTGATCTTCTCATTGGCGAACCTCGGTCTAAACCAAAACCCAAGGCCACGAGGAAGGCCACGAGGAAGGCCACGAAGCTTTGCCCTAATGGTCTGAATGGTCAAAATTAACAACTAGCTGCTAGCTGCTTTAGCTAAGAAGGCAGGGCCAAAACCAGGTGCTTCTCGTTCTTTTCATCGTCAAACCGAAGGCGGGGAGTCTAACTTTTTTTTTTTTTTTTTTTTCGGTCCTCGACATGTTCCAACAGCGGGGTCTTCTTCTTCAATCCAAGCATCTCGGGTCGCCCCGGTCTTTGAGGAACTCCATCTGAAGATCCGTTGATCTCCGTGAACCCTTTTCGGATCCGAATTTTACCATCATTTTGACCAATCTCACATGACACAAAGACTATATGATCCTTTGATGTGTCTGTGTGATTTTGCCATGATATTTCTCAAGATGACATGACACCAAACCAGGGTCTACCAATTAAACCAAACACAGAAACAACACAGAGAAACAAAGAAATACAAAGAACAAACCACCGACCACCTGAACTCAACTCCGGAAAACGACTGAGGTCCTGAGACCCATGACTTAGGCCACCGGGCTTACAATGCAAAGGCCGTGCACTTCCTGGAAAGATCTGCTGCCCGTTGAACATCGCCACAGCGACGGCGGCTTCGGTCTCATCCTGCGCTCCGTTTCGCTCGGAGCCCAGCTCGACTGCCCCAGTGGCTCGGTGCGGAGGAGGTGGGGAGGAGGGAGGGCGATGGGGGCCATAGGGCCGAAAACACACCTTCCAATGCCGAGGACGGCAGTTTTTGTGGGCATCCATGGGCATCATTCCGGAGTTCTAAGAGTTTTGCTCCACACATGAGTGCAAGACCATGTTAAGGTCTTTACGTGACCCGAGTTCAGGAATTTCTTTACTTGGTGACAAAAATGGTTGAACTATGTTGAACTGGACTTCTAGGCTAGATTCTAGGCGTTTTCTATGGATTTGTCGAAACCGATGCCACTTCTCTTCGGACACGACTACCAGTGCCACGGTGCCTCGTAGGTCACAAAGGCCCAGCCTCTGTCGGTGCCCACCTGGTCCTGTAACGGAGATGAGGAACGATTTTTTCAGGAACCTTGCTGGGAGCAATTTCACTACGAAGCCGAATGCAACATGGTGCGACACTCCTATGGAAGAGTGAGACGTGGGGCACTCGACTGCTCGACACTCGACTGTGGGGCGCTTTTGCCTTACTCTCCCGGGACACTCAAGACGTGCGACAGGACAACAGGACACTCTTGTGACGAGCAAATTTGTGCAAGTGGTTTTACACTCAGCTTGCAGCCTTGCCGAGCAATCCAAGCCCATCTGAAAGGAGCTCGCGTGACACAGAACATTCGGCACTGCAGATTCGCTACCGATACCCACACCTTACAACCGATTTCGGTGCACCCAAAGCAGGAAACTGGCCGCCCAACACATCCCATCACGCACAAAGTATGGCTCCTGCTATGAACAGTGAAGATGTTGCGATGTAGTTGGCCAAACTGGCTAAGTTACTCTAGCCTTCAAAGACCATTCAAAAAATGATTGACCTGGTGGTGTAGCGTAAAAATCCCTTGTAAAACAATGGTTCTTTGGGATTCAGACCATTAAAACACTGGTTGTTGGAATCTTAGGGCTATGAACATTGGCTAACCCAAGTTGTAACCTCTGCCACATTGTCGCGCCTTAGCGGCATTTGCACATCCATGCACCGCAGTTGACGATGACATACGATTCTTGCGCTACATCCAAGAACCGATGCGAGCCAGCGACTCAGATGCGGCAAGTACGTACCAAATCACCCAACACATCGGGCCACCATTGTCCCTGACGTCGAGACGAGATCGTGGGCAGCACGTGACCCTGCGACCTTCCAAACCCCAGCGACCTCCGGCCTGGCAGTAGAAGAATTCCTTGATGGTCCCCTGCTTCTCGCATTCCTGCGAGGACTTGACATCGATTGAAATCGACTTGATGAAGCGACGCTCGGACACCTCCGGTCACGATTTCGCGCCTCCTTCAGCACATCTTCATCGACATGATTCGGAATACAACCTGCATGGCGAAAAGGGATGTGCAGGAAAATCCCACACTTTCTGGAAAAGGATTTTCGGTGCTGCAATTTGGGTTTGGATGGGTTTGGAGATTCACGCATTAAAGATTATGATGATCGAACACGTCAAAAAACACATTCTATTTTCCTGGTTTCTTCTTTGAACATGATCTCTTTTCGGAAAACGGATACGCAAACAAGCACTGCTGGGAAGACTCCCGTCTTCACCCGCCTAAAAAGACTTTGCTATCAGACATCGCGTGGCAGGGAACGGCCAATCCTCGTCTGCTCCGAACGGCTCGGCTCGGCCAGCATCGCGTCTTGGGTCCCGTCCACCAGGTCAGGTGGTTCCCATTTCCCATACACCCATGGGACTGCCAGTTCGGACTGCCGCCCGACCCTCGAACTCATCATCCACCCCGAAGGGCCGTTTTGAAGGCAGTCCGGACTGGCATACATATACTATCATATACTCATACATGGAGTGTATATGGGTTTCTAAAAGGTCAAACTGTTTGGGATTGAAGAGAAACCTCAGAAAGCGGGTGTGTACGCGCTCACGCGTGCGGAATGAACAACAAGGGAGCCCGACGACCCCAGATTTTGTGTCCAAATATGGTGTGTCCCGGGTCGGACATGGGTAGACAGAATGTTTAGATCCTGCAAGTCCACAACCATCAGAAGTCACCAAATTTTTGGGCCACCTGAAATCCAAGACGACCACGGCTTCCCCAAGACGACCATCAAACACGGATTCCAACACGGCTCCCAGTGGCGAAGACTGGGGCAAACTAGTCGAATTCACTGGACTTCTGGGGGAGATGTTCCAAGAGAACCATCGGTCGAAAAGAAACTGCCGAGTTCTTTTTTTGGGCCCTTCGTACAACCAGGCGCATATAGGCCCTATTGTACTACACCGCTATTTTTGGGAGCATCTCGTGCATCTCCACCATATTTGCTGCATTCTTCATTGTTTGAGCATTCTTCTGGCCAAAGATGGTAGTAGAGAAATGCCGCTGAGTTCCAGAAGTATCATGTTGCGAGGGACTGTTCTCCAACTCATGCAACTGATTTCTGTTTCTTCCTCTCTAGACTGGCAATCGATGACTCTACAAAGCATGGTTCTTCTTCCTTGTCTTTCTGTGTCCTGCGTCAGCTGTGCTGCCACGTCTCCCAAGACAGCTGGGCTAGCTCCCACGTTTCACGAAACGCTCCCACCAAAACTGCATGAGCCTCGAACCTCTCTCTGCTGCGATTTCAAGGCTTGTGTTGCCCACGGCAGCCAAAGGAACAAGAAAGCAAAATGAGGACACAAAGCAAAAGGAAAGCAAGTAGACATGAGACGAACAAGGAAAGGCAAACAAGAGCAAAGCAAAACACAACGGAGAAACCATGGGTTTTCTATTGCTGTTTGCATTTTTGTTTTTTTGGCTTTGTCGTCGCTTTGTTTTCTGCCACGGGTGGGTTGTGTGTATGGCTGGCATTAGAGAACATGGGTTGCACTGGCTATCTTTGGCAGTTTGGCTCTTCCCGAGCTTTTGATTCACTTTTTCCTGTTCCCAAGCTGGCGGCATGGAAACTGTCAGCAGTTCCATAAAGTAAGGGGTGCCAAACGAACGCGGGGGGGGCCCTACTCAACGTGGCCGACAAAAACACTCCGATGGGATGGAACTGCTGCTTGGGATACTTTGTGAAGCATATGGCGCCATGTATCTGGACGCTTCGGAAGATAGATCAAACACATTCCAAACACCCGTTAGTTACTTGGAGCATGGTTTGGAGACCTCCCTATTCAACTACGCACCCCATCTTGTTTTGGGGGCTCTTTCTCCCATGACTATAGCCTCAATCATGCCCAAGAACAACTCTTCACCGACAGAACAGAGCTCTGAAGCTCTAAGACGCTTTTTTTTCCTCTCGCTAAGAGCTCTTCAGCTGTACCATGTTCAGCTCTTGACCAGTGCCATCCTGAGTGCGGGTGATCGTCCGAGTGCGGGTGATCGCGGCCGCGAAGCGGAGCTGCGGTGAGAGGCCGTGCTCTGCCCGACAGATGGATGGCAGATGGATGAGAACATCTTCTTCAGTGTCAGCCACCACATAGGCTTGGTGCTGCAACTGGGTCACTAGCAACTGGAAGCTACGCAGCTACACAGCCTTAGGACAGTGGGCGTTAGAACAGCCTCAGAAGCGCCTGCGACGACGGTGCTGCGACGACGGTTCCGGAGAGGCGACGTGGGAGAAAGGACATGTCTTCCACAAACAATGTGAAAGGAGAAGAACAGGCCTAGGCTAAGCATGCCATGCTTGAAGTGTTGTGCTTTGCACAGAGTTCAGCGGGTAAACCTCACTCCAAAAAGGACAACTATCATAGACTTTTTCATCGTCATTTGGTCAAGTATTCATCCATCGCCTCCATTCATTCATCTTCACTTGGTCGCTACGGGTGACCTGTTTGCTCAAATGTTTCCCCAAACCGAACCCCCCCCCAAAAAAACCCTGTCCCCCAACATCCCCAAAAGCCGAAACAGCCCGTGCAAAAACCCGCCCAGAACCCGGGTCCGGGTGAAGGTCCGGGACGCCGCTGGCCGACGAGTTGGGCCGAGGTGCGCCGAACTCGTCGACCGTGGGTGGGGCCCAAAGGAGATGGGTCTTTGGTTCCAATTTGGACCTCTCAGGCTGGGGGAAGTGAAGTAAAGGTGAACTCAGTGAACCCACAAGCTTCAACATCTCCATGTCATGCGGCTCCTCGAGAGCCTCGCAGCCGAAGACACCGCGCAGCCGAAGACAGCGCGCAGCGGAAGACAACGCGCGCCGCGTCTCGCGAGCTCGAACGCTCCGCGAGTGCGAGCGCTCGCGCTCGCTCCTGAGGTCCCAAGCATATTGAAATGAACACTCTCCGGATCCTGGTCCATGAATTTGGCCTCACAGGACGGCCACTGACCACTGACCGAGATCCGGCTGAGATCCGACTTTGGACGGCGGATTGGCCCGCGGCGGAAAGCGGGCGTTCCTGAGGAGCAGATCTGGACGGTCGACCGACGCTTCGTCGCACGATTCCAACGGTCGTGAGGCTGAATCGGACATGTCGACGATTGGCTCGACAACAATATCCAACAATCGTTCTGGCCCTTGAAAAGACTATCGGCAAGCACGGGGTTGTCCACTTCCGTCACAAACACCACGATATGACAAATGCCGCCGACGGCTTTTGGTAGTTTGTTGAAGTCACCCAACTAACCTACAATTAATATATCATGGTCGGAGAAGCCAACTCTCTGCCTCACAAGGCACAGAGATGCTCATCCACTGCATGTGCCCGACTCGAACACAATTTCGACGTCCTCCGATTTTCTGTGGAGCTTCGCGCGCGCACCGTGCGCGGCGCCTTGATCACTTGCGCGGCCGCGGCCAGCAGATCCCCAGCCGTGGGGCCGTGATTGATCGGGAAGGCCTCGCGTCTCCGCGTCGAACCGCGCCCAAACCCGCGCCGAACCCGCGCGTCCGTCTCCGCGTCTGGCGTCGCACGGGTCCGGGATGTCTTAGGGGTTGTGGGAGAGACGGTGTCGAACGTTCAGGTTCTCCACGTTCAACCTGTTCCGGTCCAACCAGTTGATCAGCTGCAGGGTCCAACAAGGGTTTATAATGCCTACCTGGACCTTCAAGGGGTGTCCAATGGAGGTCCTTTAGTGGTGTAGGGGCTTCCATTGGTGACCCCTTTGAAGGTGCTGGTATATAAATGGTCTGTAGAAAGTCATGGTTTGGAGAAAAGGGTCATTTTCCGGAGGTGCTTACACGAGTTCTTCAGCTTTGCCTATGCGACCCCGGTTTTATCTTAGACACCACGCGAGGGACATGAAGTCCTTAGACTTAGGCTAGACTTACTTAAATAAAGGCAAACTTTCTGCACCACACCACAACATGGTCTTAGTATGTTCCTTAGCACAATAATCAATCAAGACTTTGCTTACTCAACACAACTGCTCACACAACCTTAAAGCCCAGTCAGGTCGCTTAATTTCGCACATTGTCCTCATGCCCCGTCCCTTACTAATAAGTGACCACGGTTCTTTACACGCTGAAGTGCCATGGCTGACAAGGATGCCCCAAAGTTGATTCTGCTACTCCCTGCTACTTTGAATTTCTCGGGGCGCAGCATTTTCGGCATCCCCTGCCTTGTTGCCATCAAGCTCATACAAATCTCCATCTTTCCTGGCAGCGTTTCGCGACTTTGGCAGGCGATCCTTTCGATGGGATCGTGAGTTCCAACATCGACTGGATCGGAAAAGAAACACAACATACACACGCTTTCCCCAGAAGTCGTCGTCCAGCTGGACGATTTGCTGGATGATATTGGCGTGCCAGTTACAGACGTTTCAGACCTGCCAATTCGACGGGTCAGACCAAACAACCAGCGCCAAGTTTCGAACCCCCCCTGGACACCCTGGCACTCTCAAGTCGAGCTATGACCTCCGAATCGTTCCGTTCAACAAAAAGGGAAGCTAGCTACTTCCCCAGCTACTGGGGCAATGGGCGTCCGATGCACTTCCCCCCGTATCGCGTGCAAAGAGGGCCAGAGGAACTCGATGAAGCAAATGAAGTGCGCATCCACATCAGCTGTTGCCTGAGGTGATTGTCGCATCCCCTGAGATCATTGGGATCACAGCTTTGTTGATTTGCTGCGTCCACCAATCCTGGTCTCTTCTAGAAATGCATCTGCTTGCTTGTTTCTTCTTGTTCATATGTATGGGGACACCAAGCTTTTATATAGGTCCACCTAGAGAAAAACATACATCAAATGTCAAACGGGTCTTTGCAATGAGATGATATTTTAGATGTCTTTCTTCCTTTCGCCCTCCTTACCCTAGAAGTCCAGTTCAAAGATCTTTTCACCGATTGAAGTGTAAAATTCCTCCAATTCCGGGTCACCTAAAGCCTAAAGACATCTAGTACATATAACAATATAGACCCTTCTTTTTAATGGTCTTTGACTCCCAGGGAGCTTATAGATCTTAGAATCCCACTTGGAGGTTGTTCTAATAGAGCACTTCTTCACTGTGAACAACATATGGCAGTGACCCTTTGAATAGAAACCACGTACTCTCTTCAGCACCACCACGTTTTTCTCCCCTCCAAACCCCCCAAAACCGTCGCCCGCCTCCGGCGCCGCGGTTTGGCCGCCGCGTGCGCTGGCCTCCGGGGAGTCCATCGACCGTTGTGGTCTACAGGGAGTGAGTGGTGAAGACCAGTCTGGCCAAGAGGGATGGGTTTTCTGCTTTTGGGAGTTACGAGTATTTGGAACAACACATCATCTTTCACTCACCATGTTCACCATCTTCATACAGGTCCTAACCGCACTCACCATGTGACCGCACTTGCCCGCACTTGCACGTGCGCACCTCCGAGGCGGAGTGCAAGTCGGTGGCATCCACCAAAGCCAAGCCCGCCTCCTTCGAACGGCCACGCAGGACCAGACCACCGGGACCGGGACCGAACGACGGATGGATGATCCCGTCCGCTGCGGTACGGGGCGGTGAGTTGTTTTGCGGTACGGTCCAAGCAACATGATCATGCACGGATTCTTTTGGGGTGATCACTATAGGGTGGGTGAAACCGGATGGGAGCGGTGGAACCATCGCCAAAGGCGAGGAACGTCGGTGTTTTCTCGCGGGTTGGTCATATGGTCTCTGGGCGACCGGAGACACATGGTTTCGTCAGTTACTTCAAGCAGAGAAACGTGAGTTGCGACAGATTCCTCTGAAGATGATCTTCTAACTTCTAATCAATCCGAGAAAAAAGAACACAACCATTACAATCCGACCTGAAGAACTTCAGAATGTCTCAAACATGACCGCTCCGTATACTCTCTCCTTACTACGACTTAGATTAAAATTATGATCCATTTAGATCTCAAGATCGCTCGCTTGAACTCTCTCAAGACCCAGCTTTCTTCGAGCCCTTCCATCCCAGGCTTTCTCCCTGATTTTTCAGCCCCTCCCTTCCCAACTCGACTCCTTGGGCGTCTTTCCCTTGATGTTCTCCAAGAACTTGCCGATGGGCGACTCCGGAGACAAGCCCAACACCTCGCGCGGTTTTCTCGCTGCAGACTGCAGAGAGAGAGGGGGGGTCGGAAGTCGAGAACACCACGAAAAAGGCCGTGGCGGTTTTTGGGACGTGGAAAGAGATGGCGGATCTTATATAGCTGGATCTGTGCTAGTATGAAGCTATATAGGCCTGAAACCCAATTGACCCCTGTTTTGATAGGAAGTTTGGCCATATTTTGGGTGGATGGTGGTCCAAAATAGAGGTCAGACTCAGGTTCTAGGTACCGGATGGTACCGGTATATATGGATCTTCGAAACGGCCCGGCACGAATCCTTTTCCAAAGACGGCACAAATCTGGATGTTTGTTGCTTGTGACCAGCGGACACCGGCAGAAACCCAGAAGACACACGGTGGCCTTTTGTTTGGGCCTTCCCAACGGCGCCTTTAGGTCCATGGTCTTTAAGCCCCTTTCTGTCCAGAAGTCCAGCTTCGAGTTCGGACGGATTCGTTCTTGCCAGCTCCTTCGGGAGCCGAAGCAGACCGCACATGGTTTGGGACGGAATGTTCCACCCCCGGAGTTCGGGGTGAAGGAATTGTCCATTCGTCTCCACCCCGAACTGGGTGGTGCTGGTATGTGGTTCACCTTAATGTAGAATCGGACCATCCAACCCTCCCACTTGAATTGAACATGCTCTTCATATGGGGGGTTTGTATGGCCGGTTTCCATGTCCTCGAAGAATCGCCGTCTGGGCGAGGTAGCCCAACTCCCACAGGTCCCAGTGCTTTCTCTCGGAGTCGGATGTCAATCGCTTCTGGGGTAGACGTTTTGGGGTAGACGATGTTGCTACACCTTGAACCTGGCGAAGAGGTTCGAATCCTTGAACCCTGTATTTGAAGTCAATGTTGCTTGAAGCTGGCTGCTCTGCAGCTTTTAGAACCTCCCATTCGCTGTCTTTTTCAGGGCTTTGAACTGGCTTTCGACGCTTTTGACCTCACCAAACCTTCGAAACGGCTCTGAACGTCTTTTCCTTTCTGCGAGCAAGTGTCTTCATGTGTCTTCTCTGCGGCTCGAGAAGCGTTTTTAGTCGCGTCCGAACGCATCTGTCGCATCAGTCTCAGTCGTCTGCGTGCGCCTGAGAGTTGTTGCCAAGACAGTGAAGGCAAGCGATGGTGCCACAGGCGTTGCCGACAAACCTGGACGGATGAGACCACGTCCGACCCGCCCACCCATCGTCCGAGACGCACCGACGGGAGACCCGGCAGATGGCAGCGGCTGAAGGGACTAGATGAAGCTGCTCAAAAAGCACCTCGTCCATAGAAGGCACCATGGACAAAAATACAAAGATGAAACATCATATAGATGAAACATGTTCTGCATATTCATGCTAAGCACCATGCCAAGCAGGTCGATGTCTGGCTTGCTTTCCCGTGCTGAGACACCCCGCTGTTTCAAATATACCAAGTCTGGGCTCAGCTTCTGTCCAGTTGCCTCGATCTCTTTCTGCTGCTCCTGGCAGCAGAAGCAGAGAGAGAGAGAGAGAACGACAAAAAGAGCGTGTGAGTGTTCCAGGGGTGTCTATTTATAGAGAGCTCGAAGTTATGCGGGTGTGGTTTTTACGCGTTTTTGTTGTGTTTTTCTTAGGTTTTGCAATGTTTTGAAAGAGTTTCCACGGTTGCGGTCTAGATATGTTCTTGTGCTCCTGTTTCCCAAACAAAACCAACTTTTCTTTTTTTAAACAACCTCTGGATCCGACCCTACCCTTCCTTGCCCATAAGCATTCTCATTGTTTCAAAGGTAGCACTTTTTGGGCTTCTCCCTCCACATTCTTTATGAAATGGGCTTCTCCTTCCACATTCTTTATGAAATGGAGAGAAGATCATTATCTTGAAACACAATGTGCCCACCAGGCCCAACAAAAGTTGAGAAACTTGCTGAGTAGTACTGGACCTGGATGACTGATTGGAATTGGGCTTTGCATGGCCTTCTTGACGCCCATACCCATAATAAGCCTCATCCTCATTCTCAGGGTCATAGGGAACCATTCTGCGAGCATTGGGAGTTCACATCCTATCCCACAAGTTCGATTGGACCAATCCTGCTCATCTCCACTGCTCTCACCCAATGGCTCTTTCTACGGCGAAATCTTCCAAAGAACCTTATGAAGCCCATGGAACGATCCAGCCATAGATACACTAAGGGTCTGAATTGGCTGTGTGGCCACTACTCATTCCCAAGCTCATGAAGAACCTTCTCTTCCCCAACCTTCTTGCCCACACATAGACATACATGAAGTCAGGTTGTACCAAACCTGGCATGCTCAGCATGCTCCCAATGTTCACCCAACATTGCCAAGGACATTCTTTCTCGTGATGCCACCCAAGCTCAAAACCTCATTGGACCTCACCAACACCCACCCAAAAGTAAACCAATAAATTGTGCAAAAAATATGCTCTAGCAATAGCATGAATCATGAGGATCCACCAATGTTGTACCCAAATGGTTCTGATCTTCCATTGGGCCACCTAATCATGCACACAAACCCATTTGCACCAGGCATTCCATGGACCCCATCCCCATCATTGATTGCCAAGCAAATTTCCCTCTCACATGGTGCGCATGTGCTCTTGGAGGCCAAACAAACCCGCTGCTGTCTGGGGCATTTGCTCAATGGCTTGTATAGCAATACAATTTGCTCAAAGTCAGGATCCCAATCTCTCATGCCCAGGTGTTGCGTCTATGCACAGCCACAAGCCCAATGCCAGCTGTTTGATGCACCCAATGCTTCATCTCATCTAATCTCATCTCATCTCATTTCACCCACATTGGAAGTTCCATTTTCCTATGCTCTCTAGCTATATGCCCATCTCTCTCTCTCTCTTTCATTGGATATCTTAAGCAGTATCTTAAGCCATCAAATCAAGACACTCTTCCACACTCCACCATTGAGACCATACAGTATAGGTATCCACCCTCACCGCATAGAGCCTGAACCCCCATTCCTTCTCCATGTTCTGATATGCAATGATCCAATTGGCATGGCTCTGATCTGTCAGATCTCTCATCAAGCTTTGCAAAAATACTAGCTGCTAGCTCTCATGATTCCCACACAGAAGTCCATCAACCATCATCTATCAGCAAGTTCAGGACATCACATCATACATCATCAGATCATCACCTCTATGAGGGGGATCTTGACTAAGACCTCCAATCTCCATGAGTCCTCAATCTCCAGCAACTGGGCCTGCCGGCCTGCCGGGCTCCTCTCTGGGGGGGGGAAACAAAAAAAACATTGCTCGTGGAATTGGACTACCATTTTTTTTTTTGGGCGCCCCCCCCCGGGAGAAGTCCGGGCCCAGGCCCAGTTGCTGGAGATTGAGGATTCATTCAGATTGGAGGTCTTGGAGACCAGATTCCCCTCATAGAGGAGATGACCTGATGATGTATGATGTGATGTCGTGGACTTGCTGATAGATGATGGTTGATAGACTTCTGCGTGGGAATCATGAGAGCTAGTATTTTTGCAAAAGCTTGATGAGAGATCTGACAGATTACAAGTTGACATTTTTGCTAGACACGTTCTTCAAAACAACCAACATTTTCAAAAAGACGCAGAAAAACACAAACCACAAAAACGCGTAAAAACCACACCCGCATAACTTCGTTTTCTGTATTTATAGCCCCCTAGCTGTTAAGGGGTGTCCATTAACCACCCCTTGAAGGCCCTGGTTGGTTCCTTTTTTGTTGAGGCGTTCTTCTTGACGAAATCTCGCAGGCATGGCTATCAAACTGTAGACATGCTTCGATGGTTTTGCCCGGACAGCTTGAAGAGGCTTTTTTTGCCGCTTCAAAACCGCCCCCAAGCTCTTCTCTGTCATCATTCTTTCTCGTGAAAAACCTGTCCTGTCCTCCTTGAACTTCCTGATATTCTTCGAGGTCTGATACAACAGGGTCACCGCCAATCGATCAGGAGGGACCATGATGAGAAGCTCTGGATCAGTACCTGCCAAGACGCAATCCCTTCAAGTAGAACATCTCAGAACCCTTGGGCTCTCCATCGCAGGGGTCCGGAACCCTAACAAGACCAAGCCCTTCTCATGGGTTCAGGCCCGGATTCTGGGCAAAGACCATGGTTCTTGGGGATTCGAATCACTAAATCAATGAGCCAGGAACCTAGGGAGCCAGATCCCACGAACCCCGGAACACACGTCGACCCGGAACACCACGCAGAGACACACACGTGAACACACCGCCTTTCGACACCGGAACGACCGGCGGAACACCGGTCCTTTCGAGCGTCCTTTCGTCCAGCCACCGGTGGCCCCGTTCGGTTCGTCGCTTCTCGCTCCGTCTCCGACACCTCGACCGTCCCTGTTTTCTTCCCTCTTTGCACAGCTGACACGATGCGATCGCACCAGTGCACCAGTGCATGGTGCGAAAGCCGTCTCGCGAGACGGGCCCCGGCCCAAACGCCCGGTGTGGAAGCCGCTGGGACGGAGAACGCCCCGTCACTTCAAACGGTGTAGATGAACTCCTGTCGGCCTCGGCGCCACGGGAGTTCTCTGCGAACGATGTGAGGCCCAACGGCGCGGAGGCGTCCGTGCTGCGTGAAACAAGCGGAAAGCACTGGCCTTCGGCAACCTCCCAATAGCCTTCCTGGCGGAAGAAAGGCAGTCAACTGTCAACCGATGTGTTCAGAGCTGAGCTTGGAATTCACTTACAGTACCCCGCATGGAACCTGAGAATTGATTCAGAATTGGCCTGTGGTTTCGACCATTTTCCTCTGTCGAGGCTTTGGGGTTCCATTTAGAATCTTTCAAGATCTTTTTAGGAGGTCGCCTGGTTACCAGATCACTTTCAGACGAACACTTCCACCTGGCGGTCTTCACGAATTCGTGGCGGTCCGTCTGGCGCAAAAAATGGATCCTAATTGCGCTGGCCTCCAACCTAATAGCGATGGCCTCCACCCTAATAGCCATGGCCTCCAACCTACTAGTGGCGATGGCCTCCACCCTAGTAGCGATGGCCTCCAACCTAATAGCGATGGCCTCCACCCCAGTTGCGGTGGCCTCCACCCTAGTAGCGATGGCCTCCAACCTGGTAGTAGCGATGGCGTCCAACCTAATAGCCATGGCCTCCAACCTAATAGCGATGGCCTCCACCCCAGTAGCGGTGGCCTCCAACCTAATTGCTAGTAGCGATGGCCTCCAACCTACTAGTAGCGATGGCCTCCAACCTATAATAG